CTCGTAAAAATTCTTTTTATTTTTATTATTTTTAATATTACTTAAAGCTCTATTTAAACTAAATAAATTTACTAAATAAATCTACTAAATAAACCTATTAATATATAAACTACTACTTAAATAGCTAGTTAGATAACTAATTAAGAAGTTAGCTAGTTAAAATACTACCTCGACGAGAACCTACTTTACTCTTAGTATATAGTTAGTAATTAGTAAGCTAGAACTCTAAAAATACCCGTTAATAAGTTTACCCTTCTTAAGCTAGGCGCCCTCGGCTAGCTCGACGCTATAGCTATTATAACTAATATAAATACGCTTAAAAAGTAATAAAGTACCTTTTAGTAATACGGAATTTAGCTAAGTAATAGTACGAATATTATAAATAGCTAGGTTAATATAGACGTTAAGATTTAATATATCGATATTAGTTTAAAAATTATACTTTACGGAGCTAAAAATCCTTTTAATACGGGCTATATTATAAATATAAAAGAATATATAAGGGGCCCCCTAACTTTTAATAAGAAGGAGTATATAATATAAGATCTAGCTATTTATATAAGTTAGTACTAAGAGGTCTTATATATATTAAAGTAAGTATAGCTCGCCCTCTAAATAGGCGGGGGAAAGTTAGGAACTATTAATAAAAAAAAGATAACGGTTAAGTCGGTTAACTATTTTAATTAGTAATTAAGTATAGAGCGTAATATACTTAGTTTTTCTTAATACGTAATATATAGTACGGCCCTAGCAAATTACTCCGTCGGGGGGCTAAGTTTATTTTATACTATATTACTAAGTTTAAAAAACTTATAATATAACTCGATTTTACTAAAGAAACCCGTATTTTTTTATTTTATTAAGGACTAAAGGATAAAATTAAGGATAAATTTAGTAAGATAAAAATATTAATAAAATTCTTATAGTACGTTGAGCTTATTATTAAAATCGATACTTAATTATATAAACGACGTAAAAAAAAAGGAGAAGTACGACGCTCTTAAACTAACTTTAATAAAAAATATTAAAATTATAATAAACCGCTAAGTAACTATTAGAATAACTTAAGAAATTAATAATAATAAAATACGTTTTATAAATAATATAGAGGACTTATAAACCTTAGTATTACTAAATATAAAGAACTTTAATAAAAAAAGGATTTTAAATACTATAATTATAATAAACTAGGATATATAATTAGAGATTATTACTAACCTAAGTATATTTAATATTAACCTATTTTAGAAAAACGAGCTAATATTATAAATAAAGAAGTCCCCTATAAGTAATTTTTATAAATAGCTTATTATAATAATAACTATTTTATTTATTAAAATAATAAAAAATAAATAGGATAGTATTTAAAGTAACTTAAGAATATAGGATAATCTAAATACGATATTATACTATTTATTAAGACCTTAGTAATAATAATTAAAGAAGAGAAAATACTTATTTATTAACCTTATATACTTAAAAAAAATAATATTAAGTATATTATTATACTTTTTTAAATTTACGAGAATATAAAAAAAAAAGCTAAAATAGACCCCGTTATAAGAGATATGTTTTATTTTTTTAAAGAACGAATTAAATAAAGACTCTTAGTTAGTATAAAGGAGTAACTCTTTAAGTTTAAAAAAAGAGGACTTAATATAAAAAAAAAATTTAAATAGCCTTATTTATATAATATAATAAAACTATATAAATTAAAAATAATTTACTAAGTTTAAAAAAGAACTTAATTTAGATTAAATCCTAATTAAGTCTATTTATATAATATAATAAGTAAATATTAATAAGAAATTTATTTATAAAGTTAAAGAATAGCTTAAAAAACTCTTATATAAGGATAAGATCGAAGTAATTAAGAGACTAACTTTTAATTTTAAAATTATAAAAAAAAATAATTAATTTTAATTTTAAAAAAGAAAAAGATATTAAAATAAGAACTAGTTTTTTTTATTTTAATAAAATAAAATTATTTTATAATTTAAACGAACTTTATAACGTTACTTAATAACGTACTTAAATAGAGATTAATTATAAAGCGTTACTTAGTATTAATAATATTAATTTAAAAAGTATAATAACGAACTATAGTATAAATATATTTATTTATTTAAAAATAACTAAATTATTTAGTTTTATAAAACTAAAGAACGTAAGAAAGTCGTAATAACCCCTTATATAAATAAAAACTACTTTTTATTTAACCCCGAAGATCCCTTTTATAAGGAATTATTTTAGGTAGAATATTTAGATAATAAATACTTCTAGTACCTCGTATATAAATAAAATAGCCGTTTTTATTTACGAAAACGTAATAATAAACTTATTAAAGATATTTATATAGAAGATTAATTACTTAGTTAGATATTACTAAGCTTTAATAATAATAATAAAGTAATATTTAGCTTAGATCTTAGCTTTTTTATAAAGTATTTTAATAATAAATATATAGAATAAGAAGATTATAAATATAATTAATACTAAATTTATTATATTAAAAAAGCTAAGGTATAGAGAGAATATTAAGAAAGATATAAATAAAAGAACTACTTAAAAAAGTAAAAAATAAAAAACTAAGAAAACTAATTATAAAGAAACGACGAGAGGTAAAAATAAAAAAAAAGTTCTTATATATAACTAAATAACGTAATAATATATACTTATAAATTAATTTTAATATTTACGAACGAGGACTAAACGCTATTATTAATAGTAATATATAAAAAATATATATTTTATTAAAAATAGTAAATAAACTTAACTTAATATAAATATAAAAAGATAACTTATATTAATTATAAATAGTAAAAAGAGAACGAGTTAATTATAACTATAAATATATTAATCGGGAGACTATATACTTCTTAATATATATTAATAATTAATAAAAATAACTATAATATAATGTTATAAAAATAGAAAATATTGACGTTATTTTAAGAATCTCGTAGTTATAAAAGTATAACTTATAAATAAATTAAACTACTAGCTAGGTCCTTTAAAAAAATCTAATTACTAAACGACTTAAAAAAAAAAGGGTTTAAATAAATTTTTAATAATTCCTAAAGAACGAGAATAAATATAATATATAGTTTTTATTAAAATAGTAAAAAGCTCTAAGAAGTTCGTATATAATATTAATAATTAAAAATCGTAACGACTTTAAATTATATTTAAAAAGTACTAAATATATATAAAACTATTTATAAAACCTAAAGAAATAGGATTATTAAAATATAGTAATTAGGATATAAAAATCGAACTTAAAAAAGGAGTATAACCTAGGTTCTATTTAATATACTTAATAAATTAAAAAGAATAAGAATATTTTAATAAATATATTAATAAAAAGCTTAAAAAAAGATATATTTAACTATTAAATTCTCTTATAAGATTCCTTTTATTCTTTATACTAAAAAAGGGTAGGAAATTAAAACCTATTATTAATTATAAGAGACTTAACGAAATTATAAAAAAAAATTACTATCCCTTATTACTTATTACTAAGTTTAGAGATTTATTTTATAAAACTAACTAGTTTATTACTATAGATTTTAAAAAAGTATTTAACTAGATTCGAATTAAAAAAAGAGATAAATGAAAAATAGTATTCTAAACTTATAAAAGACTCTTTAAGTACCTTATTATACCCTTTAGACTTATTAATACTTTAATAACTTTTTAAATAATAGTTAACTACGTACTTTAAGAATATATCGATATTTTTATTATTATTTATATTAATAATATCCTTATCTTCTCCCCTAACTTTAAAATATATAAAAAATATATTTATATAATATTTTAAAAGCTTTAAAATACTAAGCTATATACTAAACTTTTTAAATATAAGTTTTATATATAAAAAGTAAATTCTTTAGGATATATTATTATACTAAGATAAATCTATATATAAGTATTAAAAATAAAAGTAGTTAAGAACTAGTTTATATTATAAAACGTTAAGGACGTATAAGGATTCTTAGGATTTATTAATTTCTATTAACAATTCTTTAAAAACTATATTAATATAATTAGACCTCTTAATAATTTAATATAAAAAAATAATTTATTTATTTAGGATCTTAAATATAAAGAAGTATTTATTAAAATTAAAAATATAATCGTCTCCGAACTAGTTATTATAATTCCGAACCCCCGAAAACTTTTTAAAATTAAGACCGATACTTTAAATTTTATTATAAGAGCGGTTTTAAAATAACGAAATAAATAAAAAAAGTTTTATTTATATTATTTCTATTCTAAAGTATTTTACGAAATAGAATTAAATTAGTAAATCTATAATAAAAAACTAATAGTAATTATTAAAGTATTTTAAGAATAAAGACTATAGCTATCCGGAACTAAGTACGAAGTTACGGTTTATACGGACTATAAGAATTTTATAAACTTTATAACAAATAAAAATTTAAATAAATAATAAGTTAAATAAAGCGAATTTCTATTTAAATATAACTTCTAAATTATTTATTAAAAAAGTTTAGAAAATAGTAAAGTAAACGCTCTTAATAAAAGACCTAATTACGAAGTCATAATCTCTAAAAAAATATAAGTTATTTTTAAATAAGAAAAAAAATAGTAGCTTTATACTAATTATAAAGCTTTTTATAATAACTAAGAAGATTAATACTAGCCTAATTAAAGAAATAACTCCTAAACTTATTATAGAAATTTATAATATATTAATATACGGTTATTAAGGAATTATTAAAACGTAAAAATAGATTTATTAATATTATAATAAATCCGCTATACGTACTAAAATTATAAAAATAATTAAGAACTACGTAATCTATAAAAAAAGTAAGAATAGCTTATATAAGCCCTATAATAAGTTATAATTACTATAACTACTAATAAAAATATAGTAATTAATTATATAGGATTTTATTATTAAATTACTAAAGTTTAGAGAACTATTTATTAAAATATAGTATAATAGTATTTTAGTTATAATTAATTAGCTTACTAAATTTATATACTTTATTTTGTATAAAGAATTAAATATTATAAAAGACTTAGTATATATATTTATTAAGACTATATTCTCGAACTACGGTTTATTAAAAAAAATTATTCTAAATAGAAATAAGTTATTTACTTTAAAGTTTTAAAAATCCCTAATTTCGTAACTTAGTATAAATTATAAATTATTAATATCGTTTTATTTATAAACTAATAAATAGATAGAAAAAATTAACTAAGTTTTTAAAATATACTTTTATTATTATATAAATTATAACTAAGATAATTAAGTAGTACTTTTATTAATAACCTAGTTCGTATATAATAATATAATTAGTAAAAATATAAGAGAATCCCCGTTTTATTTTAATTACGGATTTTAATTAATAATATATAGAGAAATACGATAAGGACTATAAGTTATAAAAGCTATAATAAACGTAAATAAACTTAAAAAAATTTATAAATAAGCTTTATTAAACTTCGAGTTTATATAATAATATATAAAAAAGAACGTAAATAGATTAAGGATTAAAAGACTATTTTTAAAAAAAGGGGATAGTACTTATCTCTTTTATTATAATATTAAAACGAAATAACTAAGTAATAAGTTAGACTATAAAAAACTTAAACTTTTTAAAATTATTAAAAAAGTTTTATTAGTTAATTATAAATTAAGATTATTAAATACGATATAATATTATCCCGTTTTTTTATATTTTATTATTTAAACTTATATTAAGAGGTTTACATATAGAAGATTATATTATTATTAAACTAAACTAATTAGAATATAAAGTTAAACGAATTAATAATTATAAAATAAAAGATAATAAAAAGGAATACTTTATTAAATAAAAAAACTATATATATAAAAAAATAATATAAGAACTTATTACGAACCTCTAGAATTCTTAGGAATTCTTTTTAAAATACTAAAATTAAAATTAAAATTAAAATTCCTAGCTATTATAATATCCTAGTTAATTACCCTAAAAGTATTACTAAATTATACCTCCCGCGTAATAGCGGATTTATTCTCGTTCATAATATTAAGAAAATTAGGAATTACCTTCCCCTTTTTAAAAACTATTTTTTTTTAAAGATAATTTAATTTTAATAAAAACTAATCTATTTTAACCTATACGTAACGTAAAGCTTTTACCCGTTTTTTTAAAAAAAAGCTTTTTTACCTCCTCTTTACGTTCTAGTTTATTAGCTTTAAATAAAAAACGATTTATTACGAGTATAATTAATATAAAAAAATATTAATAAAAAAAAGAAAAACTTATAATTATATATAGTATTAATAATCGCGTCGTAAGAATAACTACGATATATATACTTATAATACTTTAATTTACTTTTATAAGAAATTAGGCTATAAGTACTTAACTAGTAAGGCTATAATATAAGTATAAATATATTATATAACTAAAGCTTATAGAGTCCTTTATAAAGGCTTTACTTCTTAAAAAGTTCTTTTATAATACGAACCGTATACTAGTTATTAAGTTATTAACGTCTTATTACCGGCCGTATTCTAAATTTATTATAATTACTCCTCCCTTACGTAACTTTAGTCCCTAAAGTTATTACGTAATATCTTTTTTTAATATTAATAATAAAACTATTAACGTCGTTATTTATAATAGATTCCGTAAGGCGTTAATAATATCCTTTTTTATTTAAAAATAAAGTATTATTCCTATCTCCTTATTTAACAAATACTTTATTATTATTATTTAGTAATAGCGCGCTAACTAGTTATTAAGTTAGTAATATATATTTATAATAAAGTATTTTAATTATTATAATATATAAGAGCCCGCTTAGCCTTATAATTATTATTATTACTAAGCTATTAAGTATAATAAAGGATTTTTTTCTTATTACTAATTGCGTATTTATTTTTTCTTTTCCCTTTTTATTTAGCGACTATTTTACGAATTCTTTTTTATATAACTACACTTTTCTTTTTATAATATTTTAATTCCGTATCGTTTCTTAATTACGACTCTTTTATTATATTATTACTAAGTATTTATTAAAATATTTACTATTTTACGTATTTAGAATATACTTAATATAGAGTATAATTTTAAAAAGGGCTTCCGTAGTCTCCGTAGTAGTACTCTTTATATATACTACTTAGCTAGTATATATTATAATATTAACGAGCTCGTTTATATTACTAGCGCTTACGTTACTAAGTATATTATTTATTAAATTAATAAGAAGAAGTATTTTATTATAAGTCGTCGAGTCCTCGCTAATCCGTTACCGAAATATTAGCTAATAATATTTTTTAAGTTTTTAAAAAGTTATATAGCGCCGCTTAGTTTATTTAAAATACTTTTATAAAGTTCTATAATATTAAGGAATAAAGTAGCCTTAATTTTTATAAGCGCGGCTACGTTTTTTATACTTTTAGCTATATTATTAATACGTAAAAAAAAGTCGCTATTTATATTACTAACTTATTAGTAGGTAGTAAAATAAAAAAGGTCTACTTTAAATAGGCTACTTTTTAAGAACTTATTACTAACTATAAGTATTTAAACTTATTAATCTTAATTATAGTAAGTCGTTAGCGATCGTTTAGTAAATTTTCTTTTTACTAACTTAGATTTCTCTTTTTAAGCTAGTATTTTTAATATTAATAATAAAACTAAAATTATTTTTTATCTTAGTTATTTCTAGCTAGCTTATTTTTATAATAATAGCCATATAACCGCTTTATAAAATAACCTTAACGCTCTAACTTAGTACTATAAAAAGATTTTTAAAGGCGTTATTATTATATATATTTAAGAATTTCTTACTTTTCCTACTTTTTATAAACGTATTACGAAGTTTTTAGTAAATAAGGTACTTATTTATATTATTATTATATATAGTATTATCCCTATTTCTTATAATCCTAAGACTTAAACTATTATTAAAAAATATACTCTTATTACTAACTATATTCTTATTAATAATAACGAATAGGACGATTTTAAGTTTAAATTTAATAAGCCCTAGTGCGAGGATATTAAATTTAAAAAGCTTAGTAATAACTTAGAGAATTTTTTTTTTTAGCGTTATAATAAGCGCCGCTATTTTAATATTAACGACTTATTAACTTTTATTTATAACGCTTTTTTTAATATAAATAAGGGTACCCTAGCCCTTAGTTATATTATTTTAGATCTTAATAAGGCTAGTATTACGCTCCTCCTACTCTAAATAAAAGCTTTATAATAGCTTAACGAGGCTATTATTTATATTAAAATTAAAACTATAGGTCATAATAAATAGTTCGATATTAATATATTCTTTACGAATATTAATATTACTAAGGTCCCTTAGCTTAATTAGGATTACGAGAGTATCGCTTTAAATAATATCCCCCTTCCCTAACTTATTAATAATAATAATAATATTACGCCCCCTATTTTACTTCTTATTCCCGTTATATTTCTTATTATAACTCTCGTTATACTTCTTATTATAGCTCTTATTATACTTCTTATTATAGTTCCTATTATATTTCTTATTATAGCCTCTAATAGTAACTAAGTAGCGAACGTTTTATAAACTACTATTATTAATATATATAATATTTTATATAACTTCGACCGCTTTTTTCTTATTTATTATAATATTAATAAAGTTAATAACCTTATTCTAAGTAATTAGCTAAGTATATATATAAAGCCTTTTTACTTCTCGTTTACTAAGCGGACTATTATTATTAATTATTAAGTTTTAAAAGTATATACTAGAGCTACTATTATTATTATTAATATTACGTAGGTTACTCCCCTTATATAGCTAGATTTTATCGATCTCTTAGTAACGTATTACCGAGGGTTATAATATTATATTTTTTTTTAAAAAATTGCGCTAAGCTAGATAAAAAAGGTTTTATAAAGTATTATTAATTAACTTATTTTTAGTAACCTTTTGCTACGAATTTAACGTTTATTATCTTATTTTATATATACCCTTTTTTTATAATATTTAAATTTTTTAATTATTTCTATTACCTTTTTAAAATATTTAATAGGCTCTTACGTATTATACTTAGTAAACTACCTAGCTTATTTAACGAGATATTATAAGTTTTCTCCCTTATTTTATATCGTAACGATTTTTTTGACTTTTTAAATGTCTTATTTATTTTTTAATTTTAAAAGATTCGTTATTTAGTTACTAATTATTTAGTAATTTCCCTATAGCTTAAGCTAAGAAATTAGGAAAATATTATATATTTTCTAATACTATTTTAGTAAATATACTTAGTAAGCCTATTTTTTTACTTTTTTAGTTATTACTATTTTAATATATTTTAGTATTAGTTTATTGTTTTTAAATTATATATTCTTTATTAATAAGCCGACGACCTCTCTATAATTAAACTCTTTTAAAATATATTTTTTATTATAATAAGCTACTTAGCTTTTAAAAACTTATGCTTATGCTCGCGTAGCCTAGGCCCTAATCTCCCTAATTTTTTAAACCCTTTTTTAAACTTTTTAAACTATAGCTTTATAATTAAGTATATATTTAATATATTTAAAGTAATAGCTATATAATACTATATACGGGGATATTTTTATAATAAAGTATTAGCTATTATTATATATAAACTCGGCCTTTTTTAGCTATATTACTTACTTATTTAGTAAGCCCTCGGTATAGATCCTTAAATACTTTTTTAATATTTAATAAATCCGCTCTATTTAGCTATCCGTTTATAAGTAATATATAATAAATAGTTAATAACGTATCGCCTATTCTTTAATAAACTTTTCTTAAAATATGCTTATAAAAAGCTTATCTCTATCTATAATAATACTTTCTAATATACCGAACTTATATTTAACTTCTTAATATAGGATACTTACTATTTATACTACGTTAAGTATTTTAATAATAAGTAGGAACTTCGCGAACTTTATTATATAATAAATAATAACTAAGATATTATTATACTTTACGCTATTATTACGAGCGCTTAGTAATAGCCTTATAATAAAGTCTATAAATATTTCTTAAAATAAATATAAAAATAGTAATAATAACTATAGCTACCCGTACGGCTTATATCTTAGGGTTATAATTTTTAAATAATACTTATAGTTTTTAACGTATTTTTAAA